GGAAAAGAATATGTTCTAATAATTGAAAATTTTGTCCTTTTGTAATTTGAAAGTGTTATTTAATATGAATTTCCTACCATCCTGTTTTTATAATATTTGATATAAAACATACTTAACACTCCTTTAACTCCACAAGCCTTCAAATATTTTGCATAATCAGGAATTACAGCATAATTTATTTCAGTTTCCCTAAAAAATTACATATAATTAAATAAGTAGAAAAATTTTGACTATATTTATGCAAGAATACACCTTCTATCTTCAAATGGTGTAAAAACTGGACAGAGTAGCCCTCGAAAAGTAAACTTTCTCTAAGATGAAAATATGAATTAATGTCCATCATAAACAAATTATGATTACACTATCTCACCTGTACTTTATTTTGTTTTTGCACGGAATTTCTTATGTGCTTTTGAGAAGTCATGTGTTTTTCTATTACTAATTTTCCACACTTATTGTCTTTTTTACAAAATTTACAATAAAAGTATAAATTTCCTCTTACACTTTCTGATAACCATGGTTTATAAGCTGGGATATTTTCCCATTCCTTACGATATCTCTGCATATAAATTCGTTTCTTGTTAGCTTTATCATCAGTCTTAGAAGTGTTGGCTTCACGTTTTCTACTCCTTTTCCGTGGAGTTTCATTTTCTAACTCTTCCTCTTCCTCAAACTCATCATCTTCCTCTTCATTTTCATCGGGACTCCATTCATCATTATCAGTTTCTTTTTTCGGTTTAAAACCAGAAAATATGTCTTTTATTGTTGTTTTAGAAACCTCTTGGGCTTTACTTTCTTCTTCAGAATTGTTTACTACCACTATTTCTATTTTGTCTGTATGATCTTCAATCTCTGAATTGTCGTCTTTGTCACTAGCCATTTTTATAAATATTGGCAGTCCTAATGTTTAGCTACAAATTAATAAACTTCGCAATTATTTTATTTTATTAGCTAAATTTGAATGACACAAAAACAAAAACATAACCTTATTTTTCACAAACGTATACAGGTTACACATTTAACCGTAATATAATGCTTATTTTACTAATGTACCCCTACATAATATGAGAAACAACTGTATTAACTACAATAATTTAGATGAATAATAACAGAATTTGTAAAAAAAAATGTATTAAATGTTACACTTTAATTCACCGCTTCTGATTGGTTAATTCATAAATACTCGGTAACTTACATATACCCTCCGTCTATTAAGTTATTTTTAATATTATAGTAAGAAATTGGATATATAAATTTACATGCGCCCAATTAATGATTATTCCCTAACAAAAGCAAATAAATCGACCACGTACTAATCCTTTTTTATTTTAATTAAAATTTGTTTAAATTAAGAACTATTTTTGTTTGAATATTATCTTTGTGACGTATTGTATAATATGATGTTTACTGTTTTCATTTATGAATTGTTAGTTTGTTACCAACTTATGACTCTTCTTGCTTGTAGCATTCTAATTTGTAATTGTTTTTAATTAGTTTTATGTTATTTAGAAGGTGTTTATTTTTCCAAATTTTATTGTATAGTTTTGTGAGTAATAGATTATCCTAACTTCAACCTGGTAAACTGATAAAGGTATGAATCTAGGAACAGGATTAATGAAAAACAGTTCAGTAGCGTCCATACGCGTTTTGTAAAACTAAGTGTAAGTGCTGTTCATATTAGTAGTTTCACATGGACGCGTATTGAAAATCATATTTTACCAATTTAATATTCAACCGACATGTTAATATAGTTTATAAGGTTTCTAAGATATATCATAAATAGGGAGGTGAATGAACTGGTACTTTATGTCCTCGAAAGGTACTGTGCCATTAGGCTAGTGCTCATATGAAATAGAGAGAGGGTCATCAGTATGTGATGGCGTATTATGGTTTTAATAAAAGGCCCTAACACAAGCTCTTTGATAAGCCCCCCCCTCCATCTCATATGAATCTGTGTCTTGCTCTCACGCTCGGTTAAAAGTCGGTCTTTTCGGCTCTAATTACTAGTACGAAGTATACACTAAAAAAACGCAGCGCATTATTAAAATTATTTTTTTTTATAGGACTATCGTGATCTTCGGCGATGGGCCCTTGACCTTCGTTCTCCTACGATCATAGATCGCTACGCTACGCCACTGCATAGATATACCCATCACAAAAATCCTGGGTATGTGTGTAATTTGTTGTTAAGACAGACAAACTTTAGTTAGAAGTACGTAGTAATTTATACCACGCAGAAGGACCGGGTTCGATTCTCGATCAATGCAATACTTCTTCCTTCTTTTGCTAGATAAAATAATTTGGTTGAATACTGACTAAACGCGAAAAGTAGTTATTGCCTATAATGAAAATCTTAAAATATCGATAAATTGAAAATATGTAACAAAAAACCACTTTAATTAAGTATCAATTAAAATATATATTTGATTTAATATTTAACAAATGCTTTACAATGTGTATTATAATACATTGCTTAAAGAAATTTTAATTTTCTTAAATCTGATTCAAAACTCTGCACCTGTTGTGGCGTAAGGGTTAATAGAGGATCCCTAGGGACTCCTACATTTATGGGAGTTGTTAGATTCATTGCTGCCTTCATTATTGGCACCCATTCTCCTAAAACAGAGTGATGATTTGTTAACATTTTATTAGTATTTAGAAGTAACAAAAAGAAAAAATAAGAAGATACAATTTATGTACCCATTTTCATATGAAAGTTTGAAAATGTTCGAAACAGTTGTTTTTGGGTAGTTTTTTTTAATGAAAATGTTGATATAGAAAAATGTTTTACCGTATTGATTCGCATGTTTTATTGCGGTACTCAATTCTTTTTGTGTTGTTAGTGCCTTATTGACGTTATTGTCTTTAACTTGCTTTAAAATATTAAGTCCATATTTTGGCCACATATTCAATGATGTTGCAATAGCAGAATCGAAACCTAATGAATATGCGCCAACCATTAGCTAAAAATTAAACATTTTTAAATATTACTAAAACATTTTTTTTACTTAAATAAAATTTTAAGTCTAAAAAAAATGATGATTGCAACTATTATGTATGCGACTTACATCATCAGCCCCTAAAAATACAGCATATCGTCCATTCCCTGCTCTGACTGCAGCTATACCTTCGTCTAATACTGTTGATGTAAATTTGATGCCGACAAACGTGTCTATTTTACCATCTACTTGGTTTAAAAAGTCTCCCATATGAACTGAAATTCATTAAAGTGGCTGGTTTTTATAATAAAAAATTAAGTGGATACAACTGTAAAAGAAGTTTGAACTTCCAAGTTTATGATGAGCCGTTCACGATGTGTTACCACCACTTTTTGCAACACCCCTCCCCACCCCTCCCTTGCCACGCTTTGTCACACAGGTCTTATATCCTTCTCACCATTTGTCTCGTCACGCAGTGACATATTACATAAGCAGATAAATAAATCGTTCAAAAATATTTATCTACCACCAAATTATTTGTTGCCTGTATTGTATATTTCTCTTTATTAAATTTTAACATTGATTCAATTTTTAATAAATGATTACCTGAAACTCCACTATAACGCGGAATATGGTAGTAAAGTAAGGGGGTATTGGGTGCAGCCGCACTCACCAGTTTTAAATAATGCGTCAATTCAACTGGATTTTTGGGTTTAAAATATAATTCGGGAAGAGTCATAATTGAATCGACACCAAGCGATTCAGCATGTCTTGCCTTAAATTAAATATAAATTCATTAATAAAATCCTTTTTTCTATTCGCCTTTTATCGTATTTACCAATTCCAAGACGTCTGGTAAGGGTGCACCCCCAACTTGAATCATTAGATGCAAGTTTGTTGTGGATGCAGCTTTCTTCCATGCTTCGGCCACTAATTTTCTTTCTTCGACATTCATTGACATACCCTCTCCACTGGTTCCATTTACTTTTTAAAAAAATTATAACAAAAAAAAGAAATGATAGCTTTGTCGATGTGTACCTACGTGTCATGCAAAAACTACCGGATTGATTATTTTTCAAATTTTTTAGTGTCTCTCCTTAGATAGTTCGTCTTTATCTCCAATAAAAATTATAAGAATATTCCTTCAAGTTTTCATAAAAGTAACCACGCATCATTTGCGCGAGTAATCCGATACTAAACTTAAACTACAGGTGGCGGTATACTGCCAGTGATATGCTACTTGATAAACGAAGTTGTAGTCAGGCGCATAGTTTGTGCTTCTCTCATTATTTTTTTTGTTTCTCTTATCAGTCTTATCAATTTAATTAAAATTGTGGAACTGTGCAATGACCCTTTAAGTTATAAATATGCATAATCTTCACAAACTTATAAAATTGATAATGTTATTTGTGCTCTGTTATTTTTTTAATTACCTTCATTTGCACTTGATATTTTTTTACTTGACATCAAAAAGAGGGAATATTCTTATAAACAAATATAATGATTACTATTATTATTATTACTAAATTATGTATTATTACAAATCTCGTAACTGATAAGGAAGAAGACTTTTTAGCAATACTTTCGATAAAAGTCACAGTTTATAACATTAATAATATTGGTTTTTATAGATACAATACACAATGCACAATAAACAACAGGCAGAGTGTATTAAATTTAACATCCCATTTTTTCAGAAATAATATATAAAACAAGAATAAATGTAATATATATAAGTGCGCTTCACCAATCGGTAAAAATGTGTAAGTACTTACCGAGAATGCCCTCGATCCCCGCATCTTTTAAGAATTTTGCGTACCTGGTAATATCTGTTAAGTTTAAACTTTTTTTCCTAAAATGTACCTCAGTTTTAGGGTAAATCATTTAGGTATTAAAAAATTACAGAATATGTTTCTTCTTACTTATCATTGTTAAAAGGCGTTAAGACAGGGGCAATAAGTCCTCGGTAGGTAAATTGCTCGGGGGTAATAACCTATGTAAAACAACCAAATTGAAATGGATAACACTTTTATATATTGATACTAACCATTTTGGGAGACTGCTGTTTGCTAACTAATGATAAGTATCTGAAGAGATTTAAACTGGCGCTTATAACCGTGCGCGTTTTTATATAAATACAAAAACATTTTATCAAAGTAGAAATAAATATTCTGACTTACACTTTATTATATAATAAATAATTTTGTTTATTTGACATTATTGTAATAATGAGTATAAATCATTTTGTTTTTGAAATTAAATACATATACATATTACATATAAATACTCTTTTAACATCTGTAATTTAGAATTGTTTTGATCATTTTTAGTGGAAAATATCAAGGTTATTCTATTTTTAGATTTAAAATATAGCAACAAAAGTTCCGTTATTGATAGTGCACACCATTTACATTTTAATGTTGACGACACTTTTAATAATTTTGTAATCTGTGCTTTAAACATCAATTATAAAAATCATGTTCATGTTATTAGAATGGATATGTATATTCAACCAACTATACGCTTGAATATGCACATCTAAACCCGTCCATTTCTTTGCAATTGTTTCCAACCATATTCAAACCTGTTGAATACGTCAGAATTGGCGATTTTTAAAATTGACTGATGAACATGTATGTTATAAAGAAAAAAACTACGTAAAAACATTAATTTAGGATTAGCTATAAATAAAATAAATCAGAACACTATTTTCAAAAATAAAAACAGGAAATAATACCTACTATCGATGTAATAGGAATTATTTTTAATGGTGGTGCTCTTCTTCTAAGTGATAAATTGGTATCTTTTTATTTCTGTGTGGCTTTCATCAACTATTAGATACTAATAAAATCAATTTACAAATAGAAAAAGCAATTGCTGAATATATCTATAATAATTGGAAAAAAATATGTTGATTACCGAAAATTTGCAATTTAATTATCATAATGCAATAGCCTTACCAAAAAATTAGTTTTCTTTAAATACTCATTCTCAATTTTTAAAATTTAATTTTATGTTAGTATCTTTTATTCAATATGGCTGCTTTTCAATTATTGCGTTCAATGAACGCAACTTATTGTACTCTACCTCTACTAACTAATTTCTGCAACTTGCAATGCTCATTGTAGATTTTGACGTTTATGACCTTGTGTTGAATCTGTTGAATTAAGATACTTCTTTAATACAAATATGAAGTTTGAAAACATACATTGAAAACAAAATGTCATTAATAGATCGTGTTCGCGTAATGGTGCTAGGTGACTCAGGTGTCGGAAAATCGTCATTTGTACATTTAGCAGCCCATGGCGAACCTATAAAGTCTCCTGGTTGGACTATAGGTTGTGTAGTGGAAGTGAAACTTCACGAGTACAGGGAAGGGACTCCAGAGCAGACAACATATTTTGTTGAATTTTGGGATATAGGTGGAAGTAATAATCATCGAAATGCAAGGCATGTTTTTTATAACCCCTGCCATGGTGTGATTTTGGTACATGATTTAACAAACAGAAAGTCTGAAGAGAATCTAAAGAAATGGCTACAGGAAGTATTAAATCGTGACAAACCAAATACACCTCTTTACACATCTTGGGCCAGTAATTATGATGATTGGGATGCTGAGAATTTTCTAGGCTCAACACAACTACCAATTTTGGTTATTGGAACTAAGTTAGATATGGTTGAAGACAGAAAATTCGTCTCTAGATCTTCAAATCTAGCAAGTCAATTTGGTGCAGATGAAATTGTTCTAGATTGTAGACAAGTCAGATATTTAGCTGCTGGAACAACAAACGCAGTAAAATTAACAAGATTTTATGATAAAGTGATAGAAAAAAGGGATATTACTGAAACCATGAATTCATACCCAGAGAGAAGTTCAACTAGTACATCTCCTCTACTATCTTCTAGGTTTTATTCTGTACCACATCAAGACTGAAAGATTTAATGGACCATTAAGAACAGTATTCAAGTAATGAATAAATAGTATCATTTCTTTGTACATTAAAAATGTTTATATAAGTAAAACAAGAAATTGAATTATCAAAAATATTGATTCTATTTTATTTACAGTAGTAAATGAATAATTAATTAGCAAAAATTATTTTTTGTAAGCTCCAATTCCAATTCCTTTTCTTGATCTTCAGTTAAAGGAGTAAGAGGCTTTCTTGGTATTCCTACATTAACAGGAGTAGAATACTTCATTAGTATTTTCAAAACCGAAATCCAATTTCCTAAAATATTTAAATTAGTTAGTTAGCAGTCCTATTGATTTTTATATTATTAGTTTTACCGAATTTGCTAACTGAGTCCACAATAGTATTTAACTGATCCTGTACTTGAATAGCTTCTTCTGCTTTTTTCTGTTCAATTAAATGGCATATGTTCTGTCCAAATGTTGGCCACATATTAAGAGTTGAGAATATTCCTGAATTAAACCCTAACATAAATGCTCCTGCCATTAGCTGTTGAGAGAATTCCGTTATATATTTTTAGACTATAATTAGTTAAAGGAAATCTTTTTTTAAACTGAAAAGAATGACAACTTATTTCAACTTGCCTTGTCGACTCCCAAAAATACTGCAAATTTTCCATCATCTGCTTTTAAAGCAGCATATCCTTCATCCAATGCAGATGAAGAAAATTCAATCCCAGCCAACATAGGTACTTTGTCAGATACTTCTTGCAGAAAATGTCCCATATGAACTAGGAAAGTAAGACAAACGAAATAAATGAATTTCTGAAGTTCATAAATTTTCTAATTACAAAAACTTACTGTTTACGTTTGTTTTCTGTGGAATGTGTTGATACAGGAGAGGAGTGTGAGGTGCCGCATCACTGACTAATTTTATGTAGGTTATTAATTCTTCAACAGACTGAGGTTTAAAAAAAAGATCTGGAAGACACATGATGCAATTGACACCTATATTATCTGAATGTTTTGCCTAAAACAGTTAGATTTTTCAAATTTTAATATAGATGAAACATAAAATGAAAAGAAAATTAAGAAACTTTAAAAGCTTATCATTCTATTCAAATTATTATATTTTCTTACTAATTCCAAGACATCTGGTAAAGGGGCTCCTCCCACATGGACTATAATATGCTGTTTTATTTCTGCCACAGCATCAACCCAAGCTTCAGTAACTAGCTTTCTTTCATCAACAGTCATTGACATTCCTTCACCAATTGGCCCATTAACTATTAAAGAAAAATAAAGTTATTTCTTTTAACATGTAACAAATTATGAAGTAGATAGATGTCATCACCTAAGACTCCATCAACTCCATTATCTTTTAAAAAGTTTGCATAAGTTGGTATTATATCCAAATTTAATGATTGTTTCCTAAAAGTGCAATTTATATAAAAGTGCATTTTATACAATTGCATGTTTACTTACGCATCATCATGAAATGGTGTTAAGACTGGTACCACCAAACCTTTAAATAAATAGTTTTCTGCAGTTAATCCCTAAAATTTATATCTCACATTACATTTGAATCTAATTTCTAAACAAAAATATTTTTCTTTAATATTTAAACATGTTATAACAGAAACTTATAAACACAAACTTATGAAAGTGTCTTATTTACGTAATTGCATATGGAAGATATACATACTTCAGTTTTAGATTCGAATATTCCCTCGCATTTTGGGTCCTAAAAAATTTTAACTCAAGCTTTTTTGGTCTCACTTTTGAGGTTTTTAAAATACATACCTGCAGCATTTGTAAAAGATCATTTGATGAATCTTCTCCTTCTTGTTCAAGTTCTACATTATCCAAAGCAGTAAGATCCTGTAAGCGTTTGCTTTTAATTTCAAAATCATTCCCCAAAAGAACTCTTTTTCTACCACCTATTGGAAGTACTCTTTTCTCGGGCTGTAAATTATTGTATTCAACTTACATAAATATTAAAACTGTATTATATTTTCCATCTTACAACTGTTAGTTCATGGTTGTGTTTAAAATTCATAGCTACCAATTGTAACGATTCTCCATCTTCGGAAACTTTAAACCGTAAATAAGACGGACAACCATTTGATTTTAAACTACTGCAATGGTAAACATTAAAAGATAATACGCTTTTGGCAAAAATACTTACGGGGAAGATTTTCGTCTATGGTGCGCTCTGGATTTAAATTCTATTCCTCCATAAATGCATGTAAACTTTAATTCATAATAAACAAGGTCTGGATTTACTTCTTTTAAATTTCCTGATGATCGACTGGCGCCGATTGTTCTCGCGTCCCGTTTCCAGTATTTTGTGTTTGTTGCTTCGCAAAACTTATTTAAATAATCTTTTAGTTCATTGTACGAATCAAACCGATACCCAATATCCAAATCCATCCCTTTAAACCAAGAAATAGGTTTATAATTTTTTAAAACCGGCCAGGTTTATTGAGATACTATATGTTTTCAAGGTGCTAATCTCCCCATCAGACTAAGAAACCATAACATTAACTAACACAACTAACCTATAAAATATAATTGGATGATGTTATGGAGTCACGTAATTTAAGATTATTCAGCCATATTTCTTGTTTGTTACTCATTTGACGTCTGTTTTATTAAATAGGTTAAGTTTTAAAAATTAAGCATCTTTTTAATTTTTTTCACATATGTATTATTTCCTTACAGAAGGTATCCATATACTGTTTTCTTATACATAAAGTGATAATACTGACGTACCTATTTAAAAATGCAAAACGTGGTAAGAAGATCAAAAGGATACCAAGACATTGAAGGCTCTTCATCGCCCGGTACATTAAACAAAAGTACAACTTTGCCTGATCCAGACTCTCATGCTACTGATGAAATAGAAATGGCTTCAGTTACTGTTGTTCCAGATGGTAATAAATAATTTTTTCTATGTCTATATGAGGGTTTCGTAGGATAAAAAATGTACAATTGTATGTGGACATCAAATCTCATATTTCTTTTACAGATACCTTTACTGTTACTCAGGCAGTAAATGCTTTGGGATTTGGGTGGTTTCAAGTAAAATTATCCTTATGGACAGGTCTATGTTGGATGGCAGATAGCATGGAAATGACTATTCTTTCAATTCTTTCCCCAGCATTACATTGTTACTGGCGTATAACAAGGTTATAATTGATTGCTATTTTGAAACAAGTGTTTAAATGATGCAGCACTTATGTATTTTTCACTGTTGAAATATATCCTCTTTACTTTTCTTCGGTAGATACCAAGAAGCACTGACTACTACAGTAGTTTTTTTGGGAATGATGTTGTCATCAACCTTTTGGGGAAATTTGAGTGATAGATATGGCCGCAAATATGTAAGATTTAGCAATGTAAATAACATAAACAGCTATTGCCAGATTCAAAATCTTGGTTTAAATTATGCTTGTTGTAACTTTTGTAATTACATCCAATATTAGCCCCTCTTGGAAACTTGGTTCTGTTCCTTCATAATTTGATACAACTTTTTACAGACTATTAGGGGTCTTTTTCAAATTTTTGTAATTTTAGGTCTTAAAATCAGAAAAATCATAGTTTAAAGAAGTCGTTGTCTGCTGTTCTATGCTAATATCTGATTTCACTTCAATACATTGATAAAAGCTTTTTTAACAATTAAGTATGATAAAATAGTTATTAATTGGTTTTCTGTGCAAGTTCTATAAAAATTGGTTAAACCATTTTGAAGATTAGTTGGTATATACTGAGAGACAGATACTTATTAGTTGCATTTATTTCATATGTAGTTACAGTTTACTCTATTTCTAGATTTGAAAAAATTACAAAATGTGAAAAGGACACTTCAATTTTATTATCCTAACTATAAATTAATTTATCATATTCAGTTGGTATTGGTCATTATTTTTTATTTTATTTGTTTTTATTATTTCAGGCATTAACATTGTGTGCAATTTTGTTGTTCTATTACGGACTGTTAAGTGCCCTAGCTCCCAGTTTTATGTGGATCTTACTTCTGAGAGGATTAGTTGGATTTGCCATAGGGTGTACACCCCAGTCGTATGTTTTAAATTATACAATAATGAAATTAAGTTTTCAGTAATTTTTTACTTATTTAGTCCCCAAATATTCATTTGTTTTTATCATTCGTGCTCGTGATATGCCACATATTCTTTCATTTATTTCATAATCTTTGTCTCTCACATATTCATCATTATGATGACACATTTACTTGTAACGTGTAATGTTCGCTAAAGTTGTTAATATCGCCACTTCGTCGCTTTGTTCATGCATCAACATGCGCTATTAACAACTATACCTCACTCGTTGCTCAATGTACTATTATATTATCGTGTTTTTGATTTTTTTATATTTTTAGTGTTACGTTATATGCAGAATTTTTACCTACTAAACAAAGAGCTAAATGTGTTGTTTTGCTTGATGTAAGTGTGCTGAATTTACGTTGTCATCTCATGGTACCATGTAATAGTTTTTTAGTGTTTTTGGGCGCTTGGAGCCTGTTTTGAAGTCGTTTTAGCTTTAGTAGTTATGCCTACACTAGGCTGGAAGTGGCTTTTAGCGCTGTCTACAGGGCCTTTGCTAATCTTTATGCTCATATGTCCAGTAAGTCTTATTATTTTTCTTAAACATTTACCATTGATAAAGTTCTTAAATCTAAATTATTTGCAATTGTGTTATGTGAATGAGTGAGTGTGGGTGATATTCACACAGTAAATACTCGATAGTGTAAGCAATGCATAAGGGAATCCCGGTATAATGTGAATAGTATATTAATTATGTTAAGCCACCGCGTAGGGCGAACTAAACCTTCGCTTATAGAAACAAATCTTCATTGATCTTAAAAATCGATTTAGATGTTGCTGTACTGTTATTGCTTTCAATCCCTGAAGTACGTGATATTTCCCCAGTCGTATTAGCTGGAGGGATGGTTTATTCATATAATTCATGTATTTACTTTAGAATCCTTAATGTTGACTGTATGTAGTTTTATTAGATAGAGCTATAAACACTTGAAATGTAGAAACCTAGAGTAACCATAAGAGAGTGACGTCGAAATTATTGATATGATGATCCCAAGAAGCTAAAAGAAAAATTTCTGATTTCTTTGACAAAAGATGGTATTTCATTACTGTATTTGTCGCTATATTTTGATGATGATTTAGTAGTGTTTTATATTTGTATTAATTATCGTTGATGTTTGGTACATATTAAATATGACTACCGATGACCTGAAAAACTGTTGTTTTTCTTTTGGTTCACACTATTGAGTGTCTATTGCATTTTCATCTTATCTTAAATGTTGAGTATGTTTCTTCTGTTAAGGTGTATATAAATATTTTCAGATTTAAGTAAAATATTTGTGAAATTTGCAGTGGTTGCCTGAGTCAGCTCGATTCCACATTGCTAGTGGGCAAACAGATAAAGCTCTTGCGACAATTGAAAAGATCGCAAGTGATAATGGTAAACCAATGCTTTTGGGACGTCTTGTTGTAGATGACACTCAGGCCCAACTGCCCCACAGGGGCCGTTTCAAAGATTTGTTAATTCCGTCCTTGAGAATGACCTCACTTCTCCTGTGGTTCATATGGTATTTTTCATTCAAAAAACGGAGAGAAAAAGTGTTTACCTTTAATAATATTGCAGGATGGCTTGTGCGTTTTGTTATTATGGTTTAGTATTAATGTCTACTGAATTATTTGAACCTTCTTCAAACGCGTGTATAGAAAAGATCGACTCTCGACCTCCAATAAATGAAGAAAATTGTGCTGCTAATTGTAAGCAGTTACAAACTACTGATTATATTGATTTGCTTTGGACTACACTTGCTGAATTTCCTGGTATTTTTTTATCATTACAACCCGTTGTATTGTTTTTAATGTGTAATGATTGTAGGAATTTTCGTTACAATTTTTATTATAGAACGATTTGGTAGAAAGAGGACTATGGCAGTACAATTTGTCGTATACGCTGTTTGTTGTTTGTTTCTTCTCATTTGCCCACAAAGGTATGTATTTCACAATAGTTAAGCGTTTAATTTACAACTGTTAATGTAATTAAAAATTTAGACGCAGTGCCTTAACTTTGGTACTATTTTTCGCTCGAGGAATTATAGCTGGAGTGTTCCAAGCTGCTTATGTGTACACCCCAGAGGTATATCCTACATCATTAAGGTCTGTGGGGGTGGGTTCTTGCAGTGCAATGGCAAGATTTGGTGCAATGGTTACGCCTTATGTAGCTCAGGTAATTCTTACGTTTTTAATTTTATAAACTGAATTCTGCTTAGGTTTAGTTATATTTAATTATAATTTTTTATCAGCGTAATCGTTTATCAACTAATATGCAGATGCAGAAAAACAGTTATTGTTCTTGTTCTAAATTCAAAACATCGACGGTACTTATCCGATCTGTAGCAAAGTTTTCTATTGTTTTGGTTTTTTTATTAATCATTTACAAAAGAAGTTAGACTTGGCTCCGTTGGTTTATTTCTTAATAAATTTAATTGAATTAAATAAAATGAATAAAACGAATTCGTATTTATATTTGTAGGTGCTTTTAAAGACTTCCGTGATATTTTCTGTCGCTCTTTATGCAACAGGGGCCTTATTAGCTGCTTTAGCATGTATCTTATTACCGTTAGAAACGACTGGAAAAGAATTGACTGATAACATTGACCAACAAACTTCTCAGCCAACTAAAGACTAATTTCTTTATTTCTAACGACAAGTATTAATTAAACAAGGCTGTTAATTTTAATACGTACTTAAATATTGTATTTAAAACCAAAGGTCTAATTTATTTTATTTAATGCAACTATTAGTTTTTTATTATTATACATATAAACAGTTTTTATTGTACAAGATAATTACATAAATATGTATTTGTTGCTATAGAATATTGATTTATATTTATGTGTTGTGAACAGATATGGTGCTGGTTGTTGGTAATTTAAACTAATTTTTGTGTTTATTACTTAGAATTTTTTATATTTCACTAACAATTTTTAATTAAAATTATTTGAAAAAATCTTTTTTTTTTGAGAAACTCATTTTTATGTATAGGTGTTTCATTCATTTTATTCTTTTTTAAATCGTTTTTATGTTCTTTAACTCTAATCTGACAAGGTCTTTTAGTTTGACCAACATAATTTGTCTCACAATTGCCGCGATGAATTGTACATATAAACACATTTGCTTTATCCAATATGGTTTTGTTTTTGTGTTTGATTATATAGTGAGAATGTTGATAATTTATTTTAATTCTGATTGAGAGATTTAATATCCCAAGTAGATCTGCTTTTGTTGACTCATCCTTTCCTTTCACGTTTACCTCTTCCAAGACTAATTGTACTGTTTATTTTAATGAAGCGGATTAATAAAGTTCATGAAATTAAAATTTCGAAATCGTAGATACTTAATTATATTTATTTCTCAAGGTACGTTTTCGAAAATATTTGCACCGAACTGTACATGGACATATATGAACATGAACTGATTTGTTTCTATTGCTGACTGTACTTAACCTTCATTCACTATTTTTTATTAGTTTTAATCTATGAGTAGTTATGTCAAAGAGTCAAATTTGACAAAAGTATGAAACTACACCCAGGCCCTATAATGTTTTTTTTAATTAGTAAAATAATATAAAATTCACCCTAACTGTACCGTTTTCATAATATGAATTAAGGTAAATTACCTACAGAATTATGACGAAATAATTTTGACTCCTTAATTTCAAGTTTTTATTGCATAAATAGCTAATCTGGCTGTGAATGTGTGAATGTAATAGCTAATAATTTATGTATATTGCAGTCGGTCGAATAGATCCAGAATGTCAGTAAGCCAAATAACCTCGTCCGGAAAAGTACTCAAAAGCAAACGAAATTCCATGACCAGGCCACAAAGCACAGTTGATGACATTTATTCCAATTTAAGAGGAGATTTTGAAAATGAAAACATTACTCCTGCTTTCAAAATAAGATTGCATAGTTTATTCAGACAAATAGAGAAGGAATTTGAACTTTTATATCAAGAAAATCAAACATGTGAGTATTTTATTATTCCAAAATAGTTGTGAATTGATTATTATGTGGCTGTTTTCAGTGCAAGAAAAAATTGATATTCTAAATGAGAAAATTGAGAGCCAAACATTTGACAAACAAAACTATGATTCTGTGGACTTTGATAACAATGTTTCAAAAGCATTAGCTAAGAAAGGTGTAGCATTACTTATAAATAATTTTTTTTTTGTTGTAATAATGATAATGTATTTTTACAGTAAGTTCTTCATCTTCACAAAAGTTAAAAACAGCTTACAAGCTAAAAGCTCAAACTAGTAAAATAGTGTCCAGTTTTAAAGCACCACATTTAACATGTAATGTTGTTAAAGAGTATGCAGGGCATAAAGATGGAGTTTGGGAGGTGTCCGTATCAAGAACAGGACAACCCATAATAGGAACAGCATCAGCTGGTAAGTTATAGAGTTAAAAATATAAGTATATCTGCATACATAAAAGCTTAAGCTTAAAGTATTGATGTTTTGTTTTAAAAATAATTCTGTTGCAATAGTTACCAGTGATCTAAATTTTGAGTTGATTTTACCAGATGCTTTTTTCACTTAGCCTTGGTTATTTTTGAACAAAAGTAAATTCAAGAGTAGAAAATAGTCCAATAAAACTTAAAATAGCCACATAGATTTAAATCAGTTTCAATACTATATTGAATAAATCTGTGTAGCAGTTATTTGAAGTCTATTTTTAAAATAGAATTAAATTTGTACTTTTTATCTTTTGAATTTATTTTGTTAATAAAATTTGGAAAAAATTCCCAGTTTTAATTAAAAATTTTCAACCTTGTTTTAAGCATGTTGTTTATGTTATTACCTAATTGTGACCTTCACTTAAAAAGTAATAACACACTACTGTTTAGTAAATGCAAATTCACAGGTGGTTATTACATAACAAATAATCATAGTTCAAAGAGCAATGCTACTTCAAGATAAATGTTTATTTTCTATTTAATGAGGTTGTGGATTTGTTAATTTGTATGATTTTGTAGTGTGTATGTAGAAATTTATTTGTTTACTCATGTTATGAAACTAAAATACAATTTATAAAAATTATTTATCAGTGTACTTGTTTGTTGTTTTTGTTTTTCACCTAAATATTGTAATTGTAATGTATAAGAGAAAAGATAAAAACTTTATATTCTTTGGATTAGGAATATTAATTAAGAAAAGTTCCTTGATTACTTTATAAACCAATTGTCAGATGTGGTTCTATAAAAATTTATTAATGTGTCCTTTCATTGTATTCTGTTTATTCCAGACCACAGTGCTTGTATATGGAGCATAGATAATGCAAGATGTCTTTTGCAATATAATGGGCATAATGGTTCAGTTAACTCTGTCCGGTTCCATCCTCAGAAAGACTTGGTACTCACAGCCAGTGGTGATAGTACCGCTCACATTTGGCAAGCTGTTGTTAGCTGGGATTTACCGGTAAATAACAATTTTATGACATCCTGCATATTTTATAATGCTGAAATTATCAGCAGAATGGAGAGAATACCTATTTTGTTTTTAGTACTTATCTTCTTGTGGAAACTTATTATTTTAGTATCTCCGTGTATTATTAGTTTGCTTTTATTTAAGAAAGGACATTCTTCTGAGGAAGAGTTAGAAGGGAGTGAAGAATGTGACGAGAGCAAATCTGATACAAAAATTGCCACTTTAAGGACCCCCGTATGTGAATTGGTTGGTCATTCTGGGCCCATTTCATCAGCTGACTGGCTCGCAGGTTGTAAAAAATATATTTAAAGTTTCCAGTTAATTCGATTTGATGTTTTTTTTTTGTAATTTTTAGGTGCAGATTATGTAATTACAGCCAGTTGGGACAGGACAGGAATGTTACATGATATTGAATCACATACAACAATTACAACTTTAACAGGTAATATTTTATTGGAATTGGAATATCTAATATTTCAACTGATTATAAATAATGTTCTTGTCAGAAGTAGAGATAAAATTGTATTTATTCAAAAGAGAAACCTAAGCAGGTATAAAATTAACTTGTTTTTGATAAGATGTGTCAAGATATCAATATATTGATTTGAATTAAAAATATTGAATTTTTTCATGATATAATTTCTACTTAAAATAGTATTCTTTAAAATAACCCTTTGAATATAATTATATCATGAAAAAATTCAAAGTTGGTTTGTTTATTAAATATCTCTTTATTGTATTGACATGTTTTCCAAAGAAACTGAACAATTTTTGTTATTATTAGAATTAACTTTCAAGTAGAATGTTTTGAGCGAATAGTTGTTAATTGCCTTATAAGAACAAAGAATTAGCTATTATTATGGTATATATAGCATCATTTAAGAGAAATGATTATAGGTTTCTCTGTTATTATAGGTCATGACTTAGAGATTACCCATGCTGCAACTCATCCTAGTCAAAAGTTGGCTGTTACTTCCTCAAGGGACACTACTTTTAGGCTGTGGGATTTCAGGGAAACTGTTCAATCTGTTTCAGTTTTTCAAGGGCACTCAGAGTAAGTGACCATATTACCATATACCTGTATATTACTTCTTCATTTATTTAATTGGTAGTTAGGTAAGCGTGGCAAGCTGATTTCAGAAAAACCTGCAAGCACTTATCGTGTTTCTACACGTGCAATTTGTTTCAACAATTTTTTGTACCACCATAACTTTTTTCTGTTAATGTAGAGACCTGAAATTAGTATCAAATGCAGAAATCTGAAATCTCATAATCTTATAAAAAATTGAAACATTCTTTCAAAAAAGCGTGTATTTTGATACGTCTTGACCCATTCACTCATCAAAAGTTATGAAGTACTCTCGATACTTTAGAACCATGAGGTGTAGCATTTAAGGAAAGTCTAAAAAAAGAGAAAACATAATACAAATATGAAAGACTACCGTGATCTCTATGTGCAGTTGTCTGTAAGTGGATAAGTACCACCTTCTGGCGGATTGAACTACACTTTAAACTGATTGTTATGTAGTTAATTCGAGTTTCATAGGATTATAGGAACATGGTTAAAGTAGGATCTAAAGTTCAATCATACTAAAATCACTGATGGTTTTAAATAGACCTTCTATGAGACAGACACCAATTTGTTAGAAAACGCTTAGTGGTAGTGTGAATGAGATGCAAAAAGTAGACTACCAGTCTACTTCATACTTTACTGTCTCATATGTGCCACATGTAGGTAGTATTTACAGAACAGTTAGATCGTCATTTATGCTATTCATCATCATAGGACATATATGCGCTGTTACTGACTTTCATGTCATCTCACTTACTTTATCTTTACATGTAATCTCTCTTTATGTCTTACACTGTAAGGATTCCAATTAATGAATTCCCTTCTCCTCTGGAAAGATTGATTTTTTTTTCTGTTATTTACAGAAGTGTCACTTCGGCAGTGTTTGCCAAAGAAGACAAAGTAGTATCGGGGTCGGACGACCGCACTGTAAAAGTGTGGGATTTGCGAAATATGCGATCTCCCTTAGCTACTATACGTACTGACTCTGCTATTAATCGATTATCGGTATCATCAACAGGTGTGATAGCTATTCCGCATGATAACCGACAGGTGCGCCTATTCGACTTGACCGGTCAAAGACTAGCACGCTTACCACGGTCTAGTAGGCAAGCCGGTCATGGCCATAATCGAATGGTCGCTTGCACTGCGTGGGCGGACGAACCCTCAAATAATATCAATTTATTTACTTGCGGTTTCGACAGGAAGGTTCTCGGGTGGTCTGTGCAATCCGTTAAAGATAAAGAGAAAGAGAAAGATATTTAAATTTATTTAGAATAAGACTAATAAATATTAATTAATTATTTTTTGATGGATAGGAATACTTTTTTATTATTTAGATAGGTTGATGTCGGAAATTGTGATAATTACTGTAATTTATTTTTTTAATTATTATTACACTTTATTTTTTATTTTTTTCTCATTTTGTTTGCCGTTAATAATTGATAGACTTTTTTCAATAATTTGAGAAGCTTTTACTGAATTACCGACGTTAGTCCGTCCATTGCAAATCGTTTGTGTTTTATTATAATTGATATTAAAACCGTTAAACATTCAAAACGAATTCTAGTTGCTTTTATTGTAAAAAAAATAGATTATAGAATTTTGGTCGTTTGCCCTCATTAAAAATAATGTTTGGGTTTTAATTTTTTATTGATCGTTTATAAAAAGAAATAGTTTAACATTAGCTATGAAACCATGTTCTAGATTAATGAGCAAAAGTTGATATTAAAAAATATCTTATTTTTAATCTTCAAATGAAACGAGTTATTAGGATAAATAAAAATGGCTTACAAATTAAACGAATATAAGATAATTATTTAAACCTAATGGTAATTGAATTTATGGTTCTTAAAGTGAAAATACCACTACTTCCTTGACTTATGCTATCAGTAGGAATTTATATCCCAAAAATAGTCCTTAAATTGCACATATCAACGTATGCATTTAATCACTGCTTTGTTACTGTAAATCTGATGAACAGTAGCTGAAGGTACGGTTACGGTATTTTGTGACATAATTGATTTCATATGAATGTGATAGTTTAATATATATAAATATACGTGTACAATCAGCATTGTTTACTGCTTATCAGAACTAAAAGTGGACCTATGGTGCAGGAAGGGGGTTTAAAATTAGAATTTCAAGAAATTTTGTTTTATTATTTGATATACACATTTTGTTGCAAAAAATATTTTAATCGATTTAAATATTATAAAGATGCGTTATCAAAATTAATTAACAGTTTGGAGGGAAAGTTGTTTGAAATTTCTTAGAAAGCTCCCTTCCGAGATATTATTGATCAATAAGAGAAACTTGTGGTTGTGATAATCAAGAAGTAAATTTCTGTAAATTTGCTATGTAGTTCAACATATTAAAAATTGTCTCTGTTATAAACTAATTAAATCCACTTAAAGGGTCTATTGATATTTATTATTTTGTGCCCTTCAAAATCAGTAAAATTCTTATAATGCTTTTATTGCATTTTGGAATAAAAAATATTTAGGATATATAATAATAAATTAATAAGTTTGTGGGATTTTTTAAAAATGCGGATTATTCCGTTAAGTGAAATTTAGATGGACAGTGAAGACATGGTATATGTAGAAAGCTTTTTGGATAATAATTACAATTGGTTTTTATTTAGTTCTGTAAAAACAAGAAAAAAAAGGTACAACTGGGAAGAGGAATAGTAGTAGGAGCAAAAAAATTGTCAAAAGTAAATGTTAAGGATTCCATTAGTAAAATTTTGGTGGTGGATGAAGTGGAATTTATAGGAATATATAAATTAATTTTTCAATATTTAAACAAAGAAAAAAAGTTAGAGAAAACTAATAGCAGATAGAACTAAATGAGAACTGCAACGTAATGATAGTAGTAGATATTTAGTAGGGAAAGAAAATTTTTCCTTAGATAAGGAATACTCAAGTCTTTAAAAAAATATCTGCAGTAGATATAAAGATATATTTATTTTAGCGAAGAAAATCTTTTTTACATAAAGGACATTTGAAAGAATTTTGTAGACACATTCGGAGACATTGAGGATGAAACAGGTGGTTGCAAGGAGTGATCCTGGCTCTGCTCATTCGATTAAGGCAAACTGCACAAATGTCATCCCATTCCTGGATCTCCTTGTTTGTTGCAATCTTGAACGATTGAAATGTTTCTATCTCCAATAAAAGAACGGTTACGTAGTTGTAGAGCAAATCTTTTAGACGCATGTACAATATAAAATACGTGCCAAATAACGTATACCACGATAGTCGTTTTGTTAGCATTAAACTGATTACTACAAAGCCGACAAATATTGAATAAATGTACATTACGATTGGAACGTACAAATGTTCCATCGAATCGAAAATATCGAAGTTAAAATAACGAACAATTTCAGGAATCAGTTCCAAAAATAATTTCTCGGTACAAATGTAATAAATAAACGTCACAATCGTGTAAAGGGTTTTCGGTTTGTAGACAATTCCTTGTTCTTTCAAACAAATGACGATGACGATTGCCTTCGCCCATTCAAGGAGTATTTTGAACACCCATCGCACCAAGTCCAGTCTCGAGTAGCTGCTATGGATGCTAAAGTTATTTGTTACAATGTCTCTAACTTTAGACACAAAATAGGTGAAAACTGTGTAAAATAGAAGCGTCGTGGGACCGGTGATCGCTTTGGCTGGCATCAGTTCTTTAACATAAGGACGTAACATCACCATGTCGCACAAGGAAAAGAAAAAAAGCTAAAGGTAAAATTAATAATATTCAATTAAGCATTTTGTAGTTTAGGATTTTTATTTCAATTTTAAGGATTCCTTGCTTCAAAAAGAAGAACGGAATTTTTAGAGAGGACATTTGCCTATCCATTTTTTAAAACTGGTTTGATTTAAAAATTTGAAGTATGGCAAAGTAATTAAATTGACCAGCATATTTTCTTATGGTTATCGTCAATAAACATTTATATGAAGGTATTTTTTTAATTGTTCTTTACATAGGTACTTTATTTAGTTGAATATGATCAAGTATATAGATATACTACCAGAAAAGTTCGTCAAAAAGCATGTTTTGATTTTTGAAGCTACTAACAGAGACAAAAAAAGATTTATGTGGAAACTGTAGAAAATTTTTTTAATTTTATGGTTTTTGAAAAAGACGGAACTCCTCGCTTCAAAGTCGATTACGCACTTAAAATAAAACTGATTTTTTTTATATTTTACTTTTGCATGCCTGAATTAGTTACATAAAATTTGATTGTTTGAATGTGATTATGTTTACTGTAAGAAAATAAACGCAGTTAATTTAAAATTTTCTGGTTAGACACAGGTAAAGGATCAAATAGGATTTCCATATACCTGACATATAAATCCGTATAAGTTACTCATTTTCATTAGATTTCGATCTAAAGTATCCAACTCTTCAAAGATAAAAATTAAAATGGAATTCGTGTGAACCAGAAAGCGCATTAATTTAGCTAAAATAATAATTATGAATTAGGATATATTACTTTTTATATTATTTTTATAAACCTGCTGCAACATTAAAGGCTGTAAGGAAAAGCGACTGCTGCAAAATAAGTTCGACACTTTGCGTCTCTTCTGTTACCGATCCACGACTTTCCATTTTTTGTATTTTCGAAAAAAATGGATAATATACACAAAAATTTTGTTTGACACTTACATAAGTAATTAAATGTACATAACCTTCTGTAAAAAAAATGTTTCTAAATATTTTTGGAATGACGTTCCACTCTGTATATTCATATAAAGTGAACAATTAGTGCAAAAGTTACCAAAATTTTTTTGTGTAACAAAAGTTCTGTTTTTTTAATTAAATGATTTGGCATATACCCGAACTTATATTTTTTTTTACTTTTTAGGAAACGCGGCGATTTTAAAACATTTTTTAGTAGTTTATAATAGTTTTTTATATATTTAGATTATTGACAATTCTCTATATTATAAGAAAACTGGTTTTTATTATTTATTTGATTATAAGTTAAAAATTTGTTAAAAGCATAGTAGTCTAAGTGCGACTTTATTTTTTTTTAATTCTACAACAAATATGAAAAATTGATGAGTTTAAAATAACA